GGGGGGGGGGTTTGGTTAGTGGAAAAAAAAAAGGGCCCCAAAATTTTTTTTTAACCCGGGGAAAATTAAGGGGGGGGTCACCCAACCAAAAAAAGGGGGGCCCCCGGGGGGCCCCCCCCCCCAATTGGGGGGGTTGGGGTTATTTTTGGGCTCGCCCCTTTTTTGGGGCAGGGCCAAAAACGGCGGGGAAAAAAAAAAAATGGGTTTTGTTCCCCCAAAGGCCCCAGGGGCCGTTTTTTTAAAAAAAAAGGGGGGGGGGTTGTTCCGGGGGAAACCCCCAACGTTTTCCCCGGAAAAGGAAATTTCCAAAAACTTTTTTTCCCGGGGGAAACGCCCGGCCCCCGCTTTTTTTTTTTGGGGGGGGGGGGGGGGGGGGGGGGGGATTTACACCCAACCCCGCCTGTTGTTTTACTATTAATAGAATATTAATAGAAACATAACACAAGACAAAATATAACAAACTGACGGTAAGCAACACACACTACTCAAAGACAGGCAAGGACATCACAACAAGTAAGCCACAAACCTGGAGCGAGAAACACGTACCAAGGAAGGGCCTTTTCGTGAAACACGGCTTCAGGTTTAGCCGCCCAGCAACCAACCCACGTTTTCACCCCCGCCAAGAGTCGATAACGATAGCGGATGTAAAGACGGAGGGGTAGGATTTTGGTAATTTCCTCTACAAGTTGTGGAAACAAGCATGTGGCACCGCCCGCCACCCCTTCAGGTGCCTCCTCGAGAATCCCGCCCCCCCCCGCATGCCAGAAGTAGCGCAGTGCGGTTGCTCTATCTGCCTCTCTCTCTCTCTTGGAATACGGTTGCCCAGACAAAACCGGCGTACACGGCAGCAGTAGAGTCTCTCTCTGCCCCCCACCCCTTCAAATCCCGGTGCCAAAAAGTTACCCTCCCCCCGTTTCTCGCGCCTTCCTCTCTCTCCCGACTTGCCACTTTTGCTACGGGACTAAATGTCGCCACCTTGAAAATTGCCCAGCACGGGGGCTGGTTGCTTTGGCTGATTGAGCAATATATATACGGGAGAGGGGGCGAACATCTAGACTATCTTGAGAGGGGACGCACACGGGGTCGGGGTTAAAAAAAAGCGCACACGCACACAGCGTAACACGTGATACTTCTTCAAAGACAACCAGGTCAAACCCCCACAGTGGGCGATGGATCGTTCGTGAACGAAGGCCTTCTTTTTCGTGAAGCACCCTGCTGCCTACCCAACGTGCAGCTTCGAACGGATGCACTACACAGGAACTCCGCGCGCGCGCGCGCCAGAAAATGGCGCGTGCGTCCAACAAACCATCGCGCGCGCAAGTTCTGCTCTTCCTTCATGCCGTTCGATCGTCAGCAACATACACCCCACGGCATACATTCGCCCGCACCCTCACCCTGCTTCACTACTCTCGTACTAGAAGGCGAGAGACACACACACACGATCAGCCCGATGCGTGTCACTGCAGCCCTCAACCTCTGCGGTACAGTACCGCACGTTTACATAACAAAAGAGCCTCCACAGACAAGAGCAAACGACGGGCAAAACTTTCGCAAAACTTTCGCACACCGCCCCCCTTCCGCCGTCTCTCCCAAGAGATTATAACTACCCTCGAAACTCGTGGTGGCCAGCGCACAAACACGCGTATGGGTAAACACATACACACGACACACATGCACATCTGCCGTGCACACACCGGAACACGAGACCCTGGTAAACTAAACAAAAAAGGTTTTTTTTTCATCAATTGGTACAAGAACATTACTAATATAACATCCCCCCACCCCACCCCCGTCACTTTATCTACTGGACCTACCCCCCCCCGTCCAAGAAGTTGTATCTGCATCCACATCACACCGACGCAACCCGCGTTGTAACGCAAAGCACGCCAGCATACACCCCAATTAGAAACGCCCACGAGTGCCCGTTCCCTCCCTCGGCTTGGCCTTGTAGCAATTAAACACCTTTTGAAACCCTTGCTGACTGAAAAATCAAAGTTGGCGTTCGACCTAGAACATGCACGTAAACGAGACCAACTCGCATTGCTGTTATCAACATCCGTGCACGATGCTGGTAAAAATCAGCACGCCACGTTACAAAGCAGAATTGCTAAAAGTAAAAGTAAAAAAGAAGCACATTTAAAGACCGATCACAACAACATCTCTGGCAAGCACGCATGTGCCGAAGACACTTCACAACGTCTCTCTCACCCCCCCCCCCCCCCCCTCTCTCTCCAATCATTCTTGGCGAGCAGTCTCCGACAAAAAAAAAAAACTTTGTTTCTGCCAAAACTCCCCATCGAGCTGGCCCGCAACTACGCCCTGCCGACGTCGCCGGGAGCATCATCTTCGTCGAGCAACATGCCGAGCTCCCAGACGAAGTCGAGCTCGTTGCCGCGCCGACCCGTTGGGCGCCGGGGTTGCGCACCACCACCACCACCACCCCCGACCGACCCCTCGCTCCCTCCCGCTCGAATAGATAGGGCGCCGCTAGTGTGAGCCACGCTCGCCACCTTGGCTCCTCCACCCCCTCCTCCGCCGCCTCCGTTCGAAGCGCCACACACGAGGCCGCCGCCGCTGCCGCCGTCGATGCCGCTGCCTGCTTCTGCTGCTGCTGCTGTCACCTGGGCCTCGCGGCCACTGGCCCCCCGGCGGCGGCGGCGGCGGCAAAGAAGTCCTGCGATGCCCCCCCCCGCCGCCGTCCCCTGGGTCGGTCTGAGAGCTACAGCCGTAGGGTGACGGAAGAGTGATAGGGCCGGCGCCGCTGCCACCGCCGAACCAGGCCGGCTCGCCTTCCCTCCAGCCATGGGTCGTCCACATCGTCGCCCCTCCCTTGGCT